GTGCTCAAGGTTGCACACACACAAACAAACAAGTGTGGAAGTGTATATTTTCATGTTCTAGCGGTAGGTTCATTCCATTTCGCTCATCCTATCTGACCTCGAGGTTGGAGACTTACCTGTTCTTGTCTCTCTCTCTCTCTCTCTCTCTCTCTCTCTCTCTCTCTCTCTCTCTCTCTCTCTCTCTCTCTCTCATGAAGCGCACGAAAGTCACCACGTTTGCAGGCTCGCCGCTGCACGTGCATAGGCATGCCCCATCAAGCCCGCCAATGTCGCCATGCTTTCGCGCCTGCCTTCACCATGCTCGCCGATCGCCATCGCCACGCTTGCTTTCTCTACGCTTGCAGCGCTTGCCATGACACTTGCAATATCACGCGTGCTTGCATGCCGGGTTTCCTCGCTACGCTCGCTTGCAAGGACACTTCCGCTGCATGGCACTGTACGGCGTTGGACTGTCGTTGCTGTGGTCGGAGAAGCCCAGCACCCCGCCGCCAATCGAAGCTTCGAAGAAGTTTCGATGTTCAACTTCAAATTTTTGGCGGCGCGATACTGCGGAGGGTTACAGAGGCTAGGTATTCAGCCTATTAGGTGGCCTCGCTCCAACACTCACTAAATCAGTAAAATGAGTATGAATATTCCACAAGGACATGGAAAGATACACCCCCATTCTTTTTTGTTTTTTTGTGCATACGGTGAGTAGTGGAGCCTCGCTCTGAGCCTCCCTCCACTACTCACCGCATGCACAAAACAACAAAAAAGAATGGGGGTGTATCCTTCCATGTCCTGACGGAAGATTCATACTCATTTTACTGATTTAGTGAGTGCTGGAGCGAGGCCCGTTGGTCAGCCACAGCTGCCACAGCGGTCAAAAAGAAAAAACCATCGGAGGAAAGGGCCCCTAATACCCCTAAACCTACGACCTGGCGGTGAAAAATAGAGAAGCCAGACCAATTTAAAATTGTGGCCTGGTCCTAATTCTGCGTACTACCTAGTACGTACCAGGCTACTACCTATAGGTCCTATACTAGTATACTACTATACTGGCCTATAGGCTCCGGGTCACCCAGGCCAAACCTCCACCCAGACGTACCCGCCCAGGCATTTTTTCAACACCCAGCCAAGCCCGGCCATGCCCCCTCGAAACTTTCCCAACCCACCCAAATTCCACCAGCACACTTTCACACCCAGCCGGACCAGCCTATCGCCTTTCCGCCATACCCGCAACCGTCCAAAACTGCCCGTTACGGCTGGGTACGGTCCGGTCGGGTCACGGCCACCCGTTGGCGACCTCTGACACACACACACACACACACAGCGGACACATATGCACTCCCTCACTCATAGTTCCAAGACCACAAAAAACGAAAGCCTTCACGCTGCCCAGCTCAAGCCTCAGCGTCCAACATTCAGGATGTAGAGATGGTGTGTCCTGGGTGAGTGTGTGTGTGTGTGTGTGTGTGTGTGTGTGTGTGTGTGTGTGTGTGTGTGTGTCTGCGTGTGTGTGTGTGTGTGTGTGTGTGTGTGGGCATGGGTATTCTTTGTGGGTGAGTCCGAGTTTGTGTGAGTGCTGTTATGTTTGCTATACGGAACTCGCAAAATGACTCAGACATATTGTTTTGTCGGACTTCCACTGACTCCTCAGGAGGTTAAACCCCGGCAGTCCGCCCAAGATGAACAACTGTACTGATGGCCAAGGACTCACCTCGTTTGCGTGTGTGTATGGTGCCCGTGTGTGTGTGTGTGTGTGTGTGTGTGTGTGTGTGTGTGTGTGTGTGTGTGTGTGTTTTCCCCACAACAGCTCCAATTCCACCCAGGTAGATTCGGAATCAGAGCAGTCTTTATCCTATTGCAGACAACGAGAGCATTTGAGATGTCCAACATATTAAAGCAATTTTAGAATTAGACAGTTTTTTGTTGTCCCTGGGGTACCCCCTTTCATTGTTCTTGCACCTCCCCTTTTACTGTTAATCTTACGCGCAAGGCTGCCCACGTTGATTGTGGTTGAGCAGCAGCTGCCCACATCCCCGTGTGCCTCCACGGCTCACTTGCACGCTATTTCAGGGGGCAGAGTAAAAGGAAAGATATGCTCCTGTGCATCTCTTCAGAGCTTCATACTCCTGTCCATTTCATTTCAGATCTTCAGCTTATACAGCCTTTGTGTCCGTCCTTCATCTTCATACGTCCATTCATATCATTTCTGATCTTCATATTGTCTATACTCTTAATGATGCTCATTCGCATGTATTTGTTAGTAGTACAAAGGGAGTGGAGGGGAGGGTGGAGGGTAAGGGATAGAAGGCGGAGTTCTCTAGGAGTATGGGGCAGGGGAGGTTGGGGCAATGGGAAGGAAAGAAACATGTGGAGGGCAGGATAGAGTGACATGCAAGAGCAGGGGAAAGGTGTATGACGGGTCTCACAGATTTCTAAATATTCACCACTGTGAGTGGCCACCCCTACAGACCGGACAGGACCGGTTCGGGTGTGGGCTATGGAAGCACCATATCCAATTTTCACAGTCACAGTTGCTGCATCGAATGGCACGGCAGATGTCACAGGCTACGTGGCTCGTACATGATAGGAACACAGAGGCACGTCGACAAACTGGACATGACATGTTGGGGTGCCGTACATAAGTACAGTACCGACTGTCATCGTACGTATGGAAGCAAAAACTCGCATGGACTATACCTTCATAATCCTCACGGCACAAGGCATGCGAACCACATGCTAGTTGAATCTCCGGCGGGTCGTCACAAAACGGCATGGAGCATCTTTCTTGGGCTTCCTCAGTATGTATTCCTTTTCTGTGGGCAGACGACGACAGGGAGGGTCGGTCCAGCGCAAGGGCATTCAGCTGCTGCAGTATAATCCGCAACAGCCCACCCTGGTGGTGATAAAAACTATGAGCACATCGCTCTGTCGGTGGCTCGTATAGAAGTCTATTTGTTTGTGTGTGTGCGTCCGTGCATTCGTACGTGCGTGTGTGTGTGCGTGCGCGTGAGTGTGCGAGTGCACGTGTCCAACGTAGAGCGAAGTCCTAGTCGTGCATAGCAGCATAGAAGTCAGTCGAGTAGCTTGAGAGTCAAAAGCAGGCGTCAACTCTAGAGTAGCACCGGCGTCTCTACAGTAGCACAGAGTAGCGTAGAGTAGCTCAGTCGAGTAGCTTGAGAGTCGAAAGCAGGCGTGGACTCTAGAGTAGCACAGAGTAATGCAGAGTGGCTCAGTCGAGTAGCTTGAGTGTCGAAAACAGGCGTCGACTCTAGAGTAGCGTCGGAGTCCACTCTAGAGTAGCACAGAGCTCAGTCAAGCTTAGATTGTTGATACACCTGCCCTCAGGTTGGCAGTGTGCGTGCCCCAGAGAGTAGTTTCTATACGTTGTAGCGGGGCTGGACCGGTAACGGCGCTCGGCGGGTAGCGCGTCATGTGCAACACCGGTACCACGTGCGGTAGGGGCCGGTAACACGCTTTGGTACCAGCGCTCGCACGTGGGCCCGGTACAGGCCCTGGCGCGGAGCCACCCACGACGGTTCAACTTCTAAGAGCAAACAATCAGCGGACGATCGCGACCGTCGTGGAGTGTAAAATCGTAGGGCCCTGATCATCTGCTTGTCACAGGCCGACAATTAGCGATAGTTATATATGTAGGGACAAACTGACCTCCCTGCAGCCTCCAAACTGTTTGTCAGTTTCAGGCTTCCTTGTGACAATTTTGGGGGCCATCACCTGCACTGAAAAATGTCTCCCCCGACCTCCCACAGAGAGATCATCCGGTGACTCTTCAGGAAAAGACCCTCCCAGGCATGTGTCAGTACATCTGCTACACTTTCATATTGCAATAGTGCACCCAGAGGACCTCTTTCCTGTCGATAGGGTTGTTGATTCTCCCCTTCTGTTGCAGCCAGCCATTTCCTAGCATCTATGGCCGAAAAAGAATCATGTGTGTGCCATTCCAAAACCCTAATGGATGTCCCGGACGACAAACACAATAAGAAATTACTTCAAGAAGAATACTAAACATGGTGCTACTGTCGCCATCTGAATACCTGACTTACTTGTCAACCAAGTGAGGACCACGAAGACCGACAGATCTCCTTGTCTGATACCAACCGCACTGACATACCGGTCCTGGAAAGCATCCTCGGAAGGCTTCAGCCATAATCCCATGCGCATTAGCTTTTGTGCCTCTGGCTTTTCAACCAAACACAATGACCAACTGTGCGAACCATACTTCTCAACCAAGCACGATGGCGGATTGTGGCAACCAGCACCAATGCTGGCATTAGTAGAGTAAAACGAACCTGTCCCACGACGGTACCTCTGGAAGTTCGTTCAGGAAGTGTTCTCCCAAGGTACCTGGGAGATCACCGAACGTCAATCTGGCCTCTTCGTTCGTTTGTTTGTTTTTGTTTGTTTATTTCCCGCATGGACTTTCAGATCACGGCGCTCCGGAATTACCATCTTCACCCCAAAAATATGACCGTCTTATTATCCCTGTATCTCTACTGGAAATCCCCCAAAATACAGCTACAGTGACTAGGCCTTCTATTCGGGTGAGGACGCAACTAGTCCTTCACACCATCAATCAATCAGCAGACACCCTTAAACCACAAGTACACAGCCCCAGCCTTGCAGAAAGTTTCTTGTCGTTACAAGCAAAACTGGAAGGGGCCACGCGGCATGCAGCACTGTTGAAAAAAACAATTGGCAGCCTCCAAAGTGGTGTGGGTTTCGTGCTGACCCCAGCGGGCCGATGTGTGGTGTGCCGGTGCTTGAAGGCAAGCAGACAGATGTCCTTGTTCACACCATCAATCAATCTGCAGACACCCTTAAGGCAAGCAGACAGATTAGCTCGTCTCCAACCTACAGTACCGTCTTCACAGCATGCAGATTCATCAAAAGAGACTTTCACATGGAAACTCAGACGATTTCGAAATGATTTTGTATTTGTGGGAAAAAGCATAACAAAGTTGAGCAAACTCGTCTCAACAACAAGCATGGTTACATCGCCTTAAAGGCTTAAATGAAAATAAATTTCACGTCTTATGACAGTGTATAGTCATGAAAAGAGACGACTGTGACAAGTCGTTTTGTAAAAAACTTGCACACGCAATGTCTCTGTAGGGTGCTGTGCCAGCTTTGCAGTGGTTTGCGCTTTTAAACTCCTGTCTTGCGGGGTTTCCTTAAAAGAGACTCCTGCTACCGGAGAGCAACAAACATTCGAGTAGAACGAAGAGGAAGAAGATGCTGCAAAGATGAAGTTGTGCACCACTCGCTAAAAGCTGCACGCCCTGCGCATCTGCCAACGACGCACAAAACATGCTGAAAGACCGCTCCACCAACGACATACAACCGTGTCTGCTGAGATTGACAGCTGCACCACCAAAACCTGCTAGATGTGACATGAAAGCGACGGTCATTCGCCACTCACTTGGAGCACAGAGACCGAACCCATTGACATCAAAGCCAACAGAAGCAGCACACTCAAGGACATGGGGTGAGCACACACAGACTGCATTCACACCAAGCAGACAAAAGGACCACACTGTGTTTGGTCATATCCACTCCAAAAGGAATCTGAAGAGAATGAAAGGAGCTTTTCCAGTGCTACAACAGGAAACAGAAAAACAAAAACAGAAAAACAAAAAAAAAACTGCCGTTGATGTTCTTCCCTGGCTCTCCTGGAGTACCCCCCCCCCTAGAGACCGTTCTCAAATGGTGTGCAACAACACAGGCACCGACAAGTGTAGAGCTTTCCCAAAGCATGCCACAGGCCAATGAGAGTTCCCCTCCTCACCACTGCAGAGGACAGCTTCTACTGAAATAGCATTCAGCACAAACACCGCCTACCCTGGCTACCCTTTCTACTACTCTACAAGCAGTCTGCGGGCACTGCCACTCTCCAACGCACATTTTAAGCTCCCCCTAATATCCCAACTTTGCACTGCTCAGTGCAACCACTGTCCTCAAATCTTTCTCTCTCTGTGGCTCATCGCTAAACGACCACAATATCCAATGCACTTTCGATATTCCTCTCATATGTATGGACACATAATTCACAGAGCATAAACAGGTACACAACTCGGTAGATCCATTTGAGTATATCAAGGTCCAGTCCTGCCTGAACCGTCTTCACTGACGGTAAAAAAGTGCATCGTTCTCCCTTCTCTTGTCCAGTACCCTCTTCCTAGCTAACAGAAGATGCTGTCCATCACCAAGTCAGCCGCATATCGCATCTCAGAGGATTAATGAAAGTGAGTTTCCCTCACCACTCTGCTTGCACAAAACAGGGCATCGTTATACCTCCATAACAGCTTCAGTACGGCTTGTAACTCCTCTCCGCTCTGGAGCTCCTATAAGCCCCTGTGGATCCATCCCAACTGCTTTGTCCAATCATGGAGCTCCCTAGTGTTCCATAAGCACCGACCTGTTAAACACACACACACACACACACACACACACACACACACACACACACACACACAGGGAAGGCGCACAAGAGAAAATTTCTGACGTCAATGAACGGAACATGGATAATAAACATTCCCACCAATGTTGATTGCCAGTGCCTGGGAGCAGGGGTACTATCCTTTGCCAGAGCCTGGGAGCAGGGGTACTATCCTAGGCAGCAACAAAACCCCTACCGTGACTGGTCGGCATTCCACTTTCCACAGAGACATACAAACAAGCCCAGTTTTTGGAAAGGAAACACAAACAATTATTACTGGGTACAAACAAAAAGAGAACACACCACGTCATGTTCAACTTGAGATTCTTCTGAACATGTCGCTTGCGGACACGTCAGATTAATGAAATTACAAGAAATATCTAGGAAAGAATCAAAAGCACCTTCCCTCATCTCTGTTCGCGCCCCTCTCCCTCCAACCACACCACTCTGCACCATTTTTCTATCCATCAGTCTCGTAACAACATTCTATCCATCGGTTCCATCGGATTCCAACATCCGTGTGCGCAGTGGTAAGCGGACCTGTTTTTTCCTGCTGTGGATCATATCGACGCAGAGATCTCTGCGCTTAGACAATCGACAGGGAGTTAACGACGAGAGAGGGGTCCTACGCCCAGCTTACGCTCCTGGTGGAGAGCGAACCGCCCTGCAATCGCTACTCGGTCGAACAGGTGACCTATACTAGACCAGACAAGTTCGCCAAGGGGAAGAGACCATTCTTGAAGGTCTGACCAATACGATGCAAGATCGCTACTATCCAGGACAACATACGCAGCTGAAGGAAGGGGGATACAGGCTAAACTCAGAACAACGGGCTTTCCGCTCAGCAATGGTAACCAAACCGACGTCCCCTGTCACAAAGATTCAAGGAGGGCTATTTTTCAGTACTCAACTCGCTCCATTTCACTCTGGGATTCCCTATTCAGGATTGTAATTTGTAGGATTACTTCCAATTCTGGCAGATGTACCTCAGTTGTTTCTGAAAGGGACTGGCCACAAGAATGACAACCTAATTCCGGCAGACATAGCTCAGTTGTTTCTGAAAGGGACTGGCGACGAGAATGGCACCCTGACAGTCCATTCTCTATTATGGAGGAATGCTGGTCCGGAATCGTCTCGCCTGAAAGGAAGACGGTGTCGAGTGATTTAATCACGGATTGTGGTTTCCACTCGCCAGATGTACCTCAGAAGGGACGGGTGATGAGAACAGCAAAAACTGACAGTCAATCCTTCCATTAGGTAGCAATCAATGGTGGTCAGGGATCCTCTACCCAGGAGGGAAGGAGGTGTTGAGTGGGAAAAATCATGGATTGTGCTTTCACCTTGCCAGCAGAACGCAATACGACTGATGATCCCAAGAATGGGGACTAAAAGGACCCTGTCCTAGTTAAAAAGGAGAAAATCAAAGAAAGATACAAATCTCTGAGCGGGTAGGATATGCCAGAACGTGTTTCGACAGGAAAGAAGCGAAGTGCTTCCCCCACAAGTCTGTCAAAAGCACATGTCCTCGCGACTCCACTTGAATCCAGAAAAAAAACTCGCACATCCGCTCTCTCACAGTGGCCGACCACCAAACGGAAGGGGTTCTTTGAGTTTGTCATCTCGAGTTTCATCGGTACAATAGGCTTTCAAAACAAGCAGAAGCTCTACTTACGCTTCCATAGGCAGAAGCTCCAATCGACGTGTTCCGAAGTGGTCCACCAGCTCCCCCGGTAGAAGTACCACCCACAACACCGCCTGTACCAAGCGAGACTGCACTTGCTCCTCCCACCACATCATCTCTTGGAGAGGCTCGGTCAACAGCAATCTGCATCGCAGATGTTCAATAAGCAATGTCGACCATTGGATTAGTAACCTGTCGGGCGACTTCTGTTCGATACTTTGAAAATGGCTTATGTTCATTGCGGTCACTTTGCCATTAATTTAGATCATACTTCGCCTCAACTTGCATCACTGTTGAACTTACGCCGACGACACCTCCTTATGAAGGACGTGCCATTTTCTTTTCTGAAAAAATACAGTGCTCAACTTGCCCATACTAGTTCACCGTCTAGTGCCATTGTGTGCTTTGTCGGTGGACTGACACAGGACTACTCCGAAATTTCCAAGTGTCTTGATTCGCCCGACGTGGACCTTTCACTTTACCACCGTGGTGGTCAACTAACGACCAGAAAAATCACAATACCATGGTTCGAACCTGCACTCCGTAACTGTATTATCTGCATAACTTCATACATATCAGCATGAAGTAGCAACGTATACTTTTATCCATTTTCTTCAATCGAGAAATGGGACCTCAAACAAACCACGTTGTGGATCGTCAACACAAAACATTCATCGAGAGAAGACGTGTAGAAGTCAAACTCCAGGAATTATTTCACATAAATCTGTGCACTAACCAATCCAAACAGGATTAAAACGAACTGATGCTTCAAAACATTTGAATGCAGGTAAACAGGGTCTTTCCAGGGTTTCACATTGCGCGTGCCAGACAACAAGAGCATACTGCACACGGTGGTGAAGAAAACCGGTCAGAACGCGACAAGCTGCTGTGAGCAGGAGTTTGGCAGACACTATCCCATTTATAACACAGGGCACAACAGATAGTTCGCATAGATCAGACACTATCCCATTTATGACACAGGGCATAACAGATAGTTCGCAGAGATCAGTTATAACGTACTGGTTGTCCATGTATTTCATGACTGCGTGCTGCCACACGCTCAGCCGCCGCATCAGTTTCAAACGTCACAAAACCAAAACCCCTGTGGGTGTTCTTCTTCGGATCCTGCAAGGACACACACAGATCAGCGACTCAGCAGATCGTTAGCCATTCTTCCACAGCGCCGGCAAAGAAAAAAGAATACGGCATTGGCTGACATCAAGCAATTGCCCAACAAATTCACTTCAGACAGCCGGAAAAGGACGAGTACCGCAAAGGAGTTGACAGTAGTACAAATTACTCGCACATCATCCAAGAACTCCAATGCAAGGACGAGCGCTGCCACAAGGGAAATCAGTATATGCATACAAATAGGGCCTCACTCTACCACTCACCACAGGTGAAAAAGACAAAAACACGGCACCTGTATATCTCCACTTCCTACGGTAAGATGCATTTCCCATTCGCACATTTGGTGAGTGGTGGAGCGAGGCCCTAAATCCCACACAACAAGACGTGCTACCGTCCGGAGTGAAGCTCACCTTTGGGAGGTAAACATCCGCAATCCGTCCAAAGTTGTTGAAATAGCGCCGAAGATCTTCAGACGTTGTTTCCGCGGGAAGCCGTCCCACAAAAATCTTCGGGCCAAGGCTTACCCCACCCCTGAGCATGCCCTGGGATCCCAAACCACCCCTTGCCCCGTCCATAGATCTCCCACCCAATGCCCCTCCTGTTCCCCCGACTCCTCCAAACACCCCCCCTAGCGGTAAACTGCTATACTGCTGCACGTGCTGCCCGAGTGTGGGGTCGTATGCCGTTGGCCCATCGGTTGATCCGTAACTATCATAGGACCCCATAACTCCTGTGCCGCCCCAGCCAAACCGGCCCATCCCACCCATGCCCATGCCCATCATCCCCATCCCCAGGCCCATCCCAAGGCCCATGCCAGGTCCCCATCTTCCATAGCTCTCTTCCTGCACAGCAAACAACCATGATTTCCAATCAGTGAGCATAAACAATCAAACATTACAAAATAAATTGCTACCATACACACCCAATTAAACCTCCGTACACACCCAATTAAACACTTTTTTCAGGGCAAAAGCATACCTGCTCCCCTTCGTGCTCGTCTGTGCAACAACACATTCCGCAGGAGATCAGAAAAAGGAAGCTACCACCTGACAGAGCATTTGGCTACAACTACAGATTCGGAAGTAAGATCAAATGATGAACATCTCCACCACACAGATCACTTAACTCCTGCATGAAACATCATTTGACTACAGGCAGGGTGGAACGTGTAGAATCTCTCTCTCTCTCTCTCCCTCTCTCTCACACACACACACACACACACACACACACACACACACACACACACACACACACAGATTTCGAACGAAGGTGCAAATCATCATCATATCTCCCCCTCTCCCTCCCGATCTTCCACAAAGCACACACATTCAAATCTTCGTAGCAGGCAAAGCTACAACAGGACTACTATCCTTGATTTCAGTTTACTTCCTCCTCGCCAAGGTTGGAGAGGAAGTAAAGAGTTTAGATTTCAATTTACTTCTTTCTCAACAAGGCTGGAGAGGTGGTAAGAGATTGCTGTGAAGTGTCCTTTAGGGATCAATTACCTTCTACCTCCACCGTTCAGAGGCTTGAGGACTGGCCATTCCACCCTTTTCTAGTCCAGCATTACTACTGAACCAGTGAGTGGACCCCATGGGCACAGCAACTTCTGACTTCAAGCCTCTCCAAAATGCTTACAAAATCTCTCGAGTCTATACATAGCTTTCCTTACCCAGAAAGTCCACCATCCGCCAGCTGGTGCAATCCTAACCTCGCAACAATTTTCATTTCCTCTTTCACTTCTGATTCATTTTGAAGCATCACCATACCATAACTTCCCCTAACTAACCAGCACAAACAAACGGTATCCTGTCCTCCCTGTCCTCCCTGTCCTCGACAGCATAACTATGCACCCAGCCACAGAGAAAACGACTGTTTTAGCGGCACCAACCTTTGACTGCGCACGGTCAATCGCCACAGGCTGCCCACCAAGCTCATGAATTTCCTTCATCACCTTGTCAACAGCCTCTGCAACAGAGAGACCAAGGCCACAAATTAGCTCTCTGCGTCAGCAGACCACATGGTCACGTACTGCACTGTCACTGATGATTAACAGGAATGCATGCACAGCTTTCACCACTTATCTTTTGCCTCCTCTAAATATGCCAATCGACCCAATCCTTCATTGATATGTGACCTTGAAGTCAAGAGAAAAGCGAACAACTACATTTCCTTGTGGAGGGGGTTTCATCAAACACTTGTTCAAAAGGAGGATGTCCTCATCCATTTGCACGTCATTCCTGTTTCCATAATAAACACCGCTACAGAGGCCACCACAGCCCCCTTAAACATATTCCTTTCAAAGTCTTCCAAACAGCAGCTCTCCTTGAAAGTGGCAAACACACACTACTCCGGCGAGGAATAAAGTGACGTCGAAGAAAAACATGATCTCGCGGCAGTAAAGATCCACAAGTGGTTAACAGGGACCCCCACTTTTCAGTCCCAGGTTAAGATCCCCAACACTGAAAAGTGCATTTGGGTTTTTTTTCACCTTTTTCTTCTTTGCCCTGTTTTATTTTTAGTCAAGGTCTGCAGGTTAACACCCCCAACACTGAAAAGCACATTTGGGTTTTCTTTCACCTTTTTCTTTGCCCTAATTTGTTTTTAGTCAAGGCCTGAGAATGCCAAGTTCGGTGTTTGTTGGGGTCTTGCAGATGACTGTTTTGGCCAACCCTGAAAATCCTGAAACTGAAAAGAGCGAATTTTGCATGAAAACACCTTGGATCCAAGTAGATAGACCACATGCACATTTGCCATTTTCTCTACAAGGCTGCAAGTAGATAAGACCACATGCATGCCAATTGGACGACATGTACTCAGCCATTTTGCGGTATCCAAAATAATGGGATTCGTTTAAGCTTTACCCGGATTGTCAAAGGTGATGAAACCAATTCCACGATGCTGCTTCGATGTGTGATCCTGCAAATATCAACCCAACACAACCGTGCATTTCATCAGTCGAAGCCATGTGAAAATCTCTTATGTAGGCCTCACCATCATTTTCATTCCCCAAAACGAACTGCAACGTCACAAAGACATCTGCGCTGGAAGAAAAGGCACGAAGCGTGAGACACTGAATGCATGCAATCACTGATACCCCCTTTCTCTTCCATTTCACCCCCCAATCACTCCCCACTCCTACCGGGCCACATGCAAACCAACCCAGCGACCCCCTTCCACGTCGTTCATCTGCTAGATCTGTTCTCTTTTTCCTCATCACCTCATTCATACTCCTCCAGGCCCTGTTTGCCGACTGTCTTTTATTTCCTCCCCCTTCCAATTCGTTCATATTCCTCTTCTTCTTCTCCATATCTGCTTCGACCATCTTCCCATCATCATCCATGTCTCTGTTCCCTCCTCTACGATCATTCTTTTTCATCAAGTCCTTGACTTCAACCCTCCATCCAATGCTTGCCCCACCCAATGCTTGCCAATCTTTAGTGGAAAAAGATTTACGCAATCGTTCTAAACTTGGTCAATGTACCAACGATTGTTTCCTCTACTTCGCTCTTATTGGCAAAATCATGTTGACATGATTCCTTCCTCGATATACCCCGTCGTTACCCTTATGCGCTCCACTAAGTGATCAACGACGCACTCTCATCCCCCAAAGTTTGTCCACAGCGCAGTGACATCAGTGCTCAGCAAGCGCAATTCAATCAAGGGATACGTGTACACAATGCCAGGACAACGGTGCTTGGCATCCTCCTGTGTGAGAGAAATGGACCTCGATGTCAGTCATGACCACTGAGGATCATACAGCCAGAGAACACACAAGAGACGACATGATCAATACGTGTAGCAAGAGGACTAGCGCTTGTTGCCCAGTTGCGAGGTTAAATGTCTGAGACTAAGTGTCTTCCAAGAAGTCGCGGGGTCAACCCAAACCACAAAAAATTGCATTAAGGACACCGAGGCGTTGAAGATTACATCAGAAACCAATAACTACCTTGGGCATGTAGGCATCCGTAACGTTTCCGTACTTCTCAAAGTACCTGTGCCACGAAAGATAACAGGACAAGCATCAGGGTACAAGTACCAATGTCGAGCATCACAACCACCATCAACCATTCTTGGTAAATCAATTCAAATCCAGTTCACCAGCCCATACCCAAGGCGATACAGGTCACAAACCCACTGAAGTTACACATACTGCTCCGAGAACCTGCCGTGACCAGAGTTACAACCGCAAAACTCAGCAAGGAAACTACAGAACCATCTCATCTATGCCGTGACAAAGACAGCTTCATGTGAACATGCTGACAGCAATGTGATAACAATGCAACTCGAGAATATGGCCCGTACCTTCCACAGACAATGAAACCATGAAACCATCTCAGTCTTCCTACACACTTAAACCACCAGTCCATTTGTGCTCTTTTTTAGGGACAGAATCGCACATTGGAAGAAAGAGAATTGCACCGTCTCATTGTTTACGCAGCTCGTACAAGTATCTGATAGCGGAAAAAAGGGAGCTGAATGGGTTTGCCAGTAGCTTCACTCGTAGTCAGAAAATTCCATCAAAATTTTATTGCTCATCAACCTTCTAGTTCCTTGCAGGTTACCCATTTCATATCACTAATTCACTTTACCAAGCAAGTGGACTGGAGTTCGATAGAAATTCCGGTTTCTTTACACAGACCTAACGCAAGACCTCCCAGGACATGAATAAGGCTTCAGGGATTGCCCAGCACCTTAATCCTCCACTACCTCCTGAAAATTTGGGTCAGTTGGCCCACTATTTGTAGGCGGAGGAAACCCTGTCCCAATTGGACTGTCCAATAGGCCAACTGAAAAAGCTAGGGCCCCGCGGGATTAGCAACAGGCACAAAGAGGGTGTAGTCGTTTAACCAACAGCCACAAGACTGTTATGATAGCTCTCTCCCGAGGATCTTGTAGATTGCTTGTTATCATTCGCCGCAAATTAGAAGGTATTTGAGGAAATCTTGGCACAAATTATTAGGAGCTTCATTCATTGAAGGCAACCCTCGGCACACACGAACACCATGACGACCATGCCAGAAAAGAAAAGAATGCTAATTGATTCTGATGTGCAATGCGATCTCTATTGTATTTGGATCTAACGCAAGTAGTTTTCACACACAATACCAAAGATTTCCACCTCGCTATTCTCTTTCTCCCACTCTATTTTTCCTGTTATTACCTACAAAGATTTCTGCCACGATATTCTCTTCTCTCCCACTCTATTTTCCCTGTTATTACGAAGTCTGCTCTTTTCAACCCACCTTTGTCATTACCACCCACGCATTTGACATCACTTCGCTTGTTGGTCTCTGCTCATTTCATCCATTTCCTACAGATGCACACTCCTCTCCGGTTCAAGATTCTCTCATTCAGTAATGTTCTTCCTCCTCTTGCCACTAAGCACAAGAAAGAGAACAAGAACTCGTAGATAAACCCCCTCTCTCTCTCTCTCTCTCTCTCTCTCTCTCTCTCTCTCTCTCTCTCTCTCTCTCTCTCTCTCTCTCTCTCTCTCTCTNTCTCTCTCTCTCTCTCTCTCTCTCTCTCTCTCTCTCTCTCTGTGTGTGTGTGTGTGTGTGTGTGTGAGAGTCTTGTCAAACATCCACCAAATACAGTCCCCACTCCAGATCACAGGGATGGTTCAGCAGGACTTACGCTCGGAAAGAATCATCATCTATGGAATGAGGGATACGTGCCACAAAGATTCGGGTTATGCCCTGCTTCACAGCAGACTTCATTTCCTCCTGCAGCCAACCACCAAACATCGACTGTCAGACTTGTCTCCTCGCCATCTTCATGAAACTGATAGGTGGCTGGAGCACGAAGAGTCCACAGCAGGGAGCAGGGAGGAATGGTACTGGGAGCCCTTGAGTGCGTGAGAAAAACATAGTACTGAGCAGGCGGCAATATGCATCATGTTTACACACGTGGCTGAAAAAAAAACAAAAGCAAAGCAGAAGATAACCAAAAACGATGGCCTTGTTGGGCGGAGGGACGGGGTGGGAGCAACAGGAAGGCAGGGGAAGAGCATAAAAAAGCTACTTCAGTTCAAGTGATCGGAAATTGCTTCGTAAAGAAGACGAATGCATGGCAATGTGACAGCAAACCAATGGTCGAAGTATTGCAGAGATGGAGAAATGATATATGGCACCCATATACACACCTTAGGGGTGGCCACCTTAACTTCCATGTTCCTTCCACCGAGTTCGTGCTTCATCTGGACAACTTTCTGCATGGACAACGCAAAACCACCATGCATGGCACACATGCAACGTCTTCAGGTTAACTTGGTTTACATACCTAAAGAAGGCCAGAGCCTAGGGCAAGACAACACGGGCTTCCCGGCAATCATCCCACCCAAAATGCTAAAGAACCTACAGAACATAGCCTCCCCAGTAACCCAGGCCTTCAGAGTTTGTTAACAAATTGGCCAATTACTCAGTGCTTTCCCCTCCATAAATGAGCATACACATTGCCAACATCTCCAACGCACCATAAGCAAGCAGTTCTCATCAACATGCCATACGCGAGCAATGTCATACACTTCATCCTTTCTCGCAATGATCCCAGCCGCCCGTGGTCCTACCGGGCCAATGGCTAGGGTCGTCCCGCGATCTTAAGACTTTAAGATCGCACGATGATCCAGGCCGTTCGGCAGACCCGACGGTCCGGATTTTCACACGATCTTGAAGTCTTAAGATCGCATGAAAATCCGGACTGCCGGGCCAGTAGGATGGCGGGTGGCCTGGATAGGCTAATTCTCACGTTAGCAATTTCTACTAGTGTGGAAAAAGCAAAGACAGGCCTGCACAAGGACAGCAATAATTGAAATGGTTACCAGTGTAGGCCTGACGGCCCTCTCTCGAGCAAGACATCTGCAAAGAAACACAGTTCCGGTACAGTAATAGTCGTAGTCATTGAAATATAGACCATGCCTATAGTCATGAAAAACAGACCAGCGTCATCATGTGTTGAGGAAGCTATTTGCAACAAACACATTTCTGATGCAGGAAGCAACCTCACCTCAGCGTCTGTTGCATTGCTAAACGTGACATATCCAAAACCTCTCGAGCGCCCCGTGGCACGATCCTGTTCAAGACAAACAGAAGTGGCAGTAAGCAATCGGCCAACTTGTAACATTCTGGAAAACTCCCTTGCAAGAGGACACACAAATGAACACGCAAAAAAATGAAGACAAGGAAACGCACAAGATGGAAGATAAGAGACAGGACGACAAGGCGACAGATGAGATGAGAAAAGCGAAAGATAAATGACAAAAGGGAGAGTGAGGAGGTAGAAATCGGTAGTAAAGGGAGACGGGAGGGGAGAGAAAGCCGGCAGGAGTAGAGAGAAGCCAGAAGAGGCACAGAGGCGACAGACAGGAAAGAGATGGCAGATGAGAGAGCACAAGAAAAAAAGAAAGAAATGACAAAAGACGAAGAAATAAAGAAAGAAGTGATGCGAGAAGAAAACAGACAGCAAGATATTAAGAAAAGAGCAGGACAAGCCCCACCAATGAAAGCATTCAATTTCCGGAAAAGAACGAGCTGCACTAGGATATAACCACCATGTTCCAGAAGAACGAGCTGCACTACAACCATGTTCTTCCAATAAAAGCACACGAGTACAAACACTGGTGGAAACCATGTTCTGCCAATAAAAGCACACGAGTACAAACACTGGTGGAGGGACTTGGTAAACAAAAAAAACGGCGTGGAAGCCAATTCGTAACATTTACAGGAGCACGGCAACAGGAAAATTCCATTCTCGGCTTATAACTGACTTGCATTCACTTTACAGGGTCGCCGCAAACACATTGGGCATGCGAAGAGCTTGGGCTGACAATCAAGAGAACAGTTGACACCGATTTCTGTTCCTATCGATAGGAATATCAACATAACAGTTCTTACCTTCATCACGACTACATCATCCAAATCCCCAAATTTGCTCATATACTGTTTGAGAGCTTCCGTATTGGTTTCCCATGGCAGTCCAAGAACCTGCGCGGGAAGGCGAAAGCAAAGCATTCAACCAATTTCTGTCAACACAAGCAGAAGATTCGCAGCCTTCCTGGTTCCATCAAGCACGCATTCAACAAAGTTGCATCCAGACCAGAAGAAGATTTGCAGCCTGCCTTCCTTCTTCCTTGTTCACATCAAGCGACGAGTTCCGTAAGCGATCCTTTTCGCCCACAACTTCGGAGAACAGACCACAGCATCCCAGCACTGTTCTCAACTCATCCTGGAGAGTGAGGCGCAAATCACAATTCCGAGTATCCAGGTACTATTGTAGCACCCGATCCCATTTCGACCTTGACCCGTGAAATCATCTTACGACGCCACTTGTACTGATTTATTGTGGGAGAAATGGTTCAAGCCCGGACTTATCTACTGTTTGTGACGTATACTGTGACCACTGAGTACGTTTGTGCCCAAAGACAACAACCAAGTGCCCAACGAGCGCTATAACAGCATCTCAGCACCGTTCTCATCAACTCATCGTGGAGGGTGACATATACTGTGACCTCTGAGGTCGTTCGTGTTCTATAGACTACAGTCATTCCCAGGATAAATAGCGGAACTCGGCCAGGTGAGACTCTTCCCATGGAGGCCAAAAGAGTTGTACACAATAGACCAGAAAGACCACTCCATCATAGGGATACCCTAGACGCAGTTCAAACAATTGCCTCCACTAGGGATGGCTTTCAAATATCTTCTCATAATAATGATGACGATCGCATCCATATACCTTTCCCTGACTAGGGACGGCACCTATCACCTTCATGTCTTTCCATGGGCCTCGGTCCACACTCTCAAAATGTGCAAAATGAGACTGAATCCTAAGCTAGAACACGGAAAGATCCCCCATATTTTTGTTTTTTTCTGCATGTGCAGAATCGTGGAGCGAGGCCCATGTCGAGGACACATCACGCAACCAAAAGATCACTCACTGAAAGGGCCTTGCTCCACTACACAACATTCTCACGATCTGGAGCTGGTAATGCTCCACATAGATTCGAAGTGTTTGACCAGCCTATGTGTCTGGTCCATTCCACAGTCCATATACGTTGAGAATGATCGAGTAATGGAACGAAGCCCTAAGATGGGGATCCCTACATTCGGATCCACATTGCAATTACACAACGGTACGGTTCCACGACCGTATGAAGCCAACCAGTTCAACGTCAACATGTGGGCAAACTGGTTGGCAACAGGTGTTGGCAAACTAGTTCGCGAAAGGACATACTACTTACAGAGGAGACAGCCAGAGCGATAATCAGACAGCCAGTTTGGAAAGTTCTATCTATAGAGCTTGAACATATTTACCCAACTAGTTGGTAATTATTTACCCAAGTAGTTGGTAAATATGAACTAGTTGGTAAATATGTTCGTCTCAAACACATTCGCGTGATACAAGAGACGACCACACCTGCAGGGAGGGCAGGCATGGAGCATTCAGCCGTTGTCGAAGGGAAGAAAGCGATGGCACGATAACCAGATACCACGTTATGAAGCTTCAAGTAGGATAAGGTCATCTCGAAGGCATTTGTGTGACACTGGGGAATTACGAGCTTACAGTGCACGGATTGCACCGACCGTCTTACCCCGAATAGAACGTACGGTCGTGATAACTATATTCGGGCCGACTTTCAGTCTCTGTACGCGGTCAATGACTGCACAGTCTATTGACCGTACAATCCATTCTGTAGATCTTGAACTACACACACACACACACACACACACACACACACACCAATCCATTCTGTAGATCTTGAACTACACACACACACACACACACACACACACACACACACACACACACACACACACACACACACACA